GGGGCCAGCTGAGGCCGAAAGACTCACCTTGCACACGGTGGCAGGCCAGTGCTGAACCATAATCAGTTTTTCCCACTCATGATTGCCACTGTTAAAAGACAAGGAACTCGTTTTTCAAGAGCTCTTTCAAAGTAACAGAAAAATCCACCCATCCATCTGCTCACGCTGCCATTCACTCCAGCAACACTGAGTGCCTGCTGCGGGCGTCCCCTGTCTGCAGAACCGGGCAGTTTCATCCCCGGGGGCTCCTTCGGACCCCTGCTGCCGTCTAGATGCTAAGACCGGGGGCTGGGAGCTGTGTCACACTGGGAACTCTCAGCAGGACACACCAAGCCCTCGGCCAGCTCAGCAGCCCAACGAGGCAGAAAAGGCCACTGCAGGAGTCCTCAGGCTGCGGATGGAAACACGGCAGCGGGGAACGGTCGCGGGCAGACGCCCCACTCGCGGTGCCTGGGAAGGAGCGCTCCACCAGGGAAACAAGTAAGTCCTCACACACTCGCCTTGCAAACAGGTGAGTGCTGCCGAGTAAGTGTAAAGCATGTGGTTTACATGCTTTGACACTGTGATTTTAAGTCTGAGACGATGCAAGTGCTTGGAATGAAAAAGAGAGAGATGAACCGCAGCATGAGAATTAGAGCTGGGGGGAGTATGGGAAGCTTTTGCCTCCCCCTGGGTGCAAAAATCTTATTTTACACGGATGAAAACTGAGGCTGGAAGCTCAGGCAACGTCCATGAGACAAGACCATCAGTTTGCCGTGAGACTCGGGATGTGTCTGCAACATAATCTCCACCTACAATCCCAGCGAGAGAGTGATGAGCGCTAATGCGGAGAAGCACCCCCAAAGCAGTGAAGCTGCAGGTGCCGTAAGGACAGGCCCACTGGGCAGAAGCCAGGCCAGTCGCCACGTTCTTAGCCCGGCCTGCACTTGGCCAGCACCCGCTGGCCTGGGCAGCCCTCTAAGGGTCTGGATGAACTCTGTGTTCCACGAGGGGTGCTTGTCCAGTTACATCGGGTGCACGGGTTATGGGGGGGACTACACATCCCAGCCTAGGCCTTTAGAGAACACTAGTGATGACTTGGCCAGGTGGGGCCTGGGCACACCTGGCACTGAAACCGACCTCGCCTGCCTTTGCTCTAGAGGAGGTGCCGCTTTTATTTCTGCCGCAGGGAGCAGCAAACTGCAGCACCGAGATCGCTGGAGGCCGCACAACCGGCTCTGAAAAGCGGTTCCTATCAACCAGGGCCGCACAGGCCACACCCCTGTCCAGCGACACTGCTAACCTGATGGCGAAAACGAGCTAATGAGTGCAGCTCTTCCTGAGAAAGCATGCTTTCTGGGAAAACTGAAATATAACGTTACTTTTTAAAGTATGTGGTAAAGCGGTAATGGTTTAACCAAAACTTTCAATAAAAAGTTAAAACCCACCTTTTCCCACACCTACTGCATAGGTATGAAATCCTTCTGTTAGTGTGATCATTACCCAAATAAAATAGAAGGAAAAATCACATCTGGTACTCCAATTTTGGTTTCCTGCAAAGTAAAGTGAGGATCCTCCCCAACAGGGCCTCTTTATAACCCCTCCCCTCCCCTCATTCGTCAGCTGCGACACGCAGAACAGCGGTGCCACCACCATTTCACGAAGTTTGCTGCAATCCGAACTAAGCGTGTGCGGCAGCCGCCGCTGGGAGGGTGGAAGAGCGCGCACGGGCACACAGGTCACCGACACTTCCCTGGGACCCTGTGCAGGTCCTGCGGGCCGCGACCCCGCCCCGGCCAGGTACTCCGGCCCGCGCCCCGGGCCCCGCAGGACACCGGGGCGCCCCGCGGAGGGCCAGAGGGACGCGCGCCGACGCGCAGGTGGCTCACCTGCTCCGGAGCCCGTGCGCGCAGCGCAGGCACCACAGCGCCAGGCAGACGGAGCACAGGAGGGCGCGGCGAGCCGCTGCAGGCTCCATCGCGCCGCAGTCTGCGACAACGAACACGGCAGGGGCGCGGAGGCTCGGCGTCCAAACCACGCGAGGCCAGACTGTCCGGCGCCAGGCCCCGCCTGTCCCTGAAAAGGGACGTTAACTTAGGCCCGCCTCTGCTCCGGACCCGGGGACGGAGGAGCAGCACCCGGAGCCCCGCCCACGAGGGGTTCCAGACACGCCCCCGCCCGGACACGCCCCCGACGCCCCGCCGGCGGGCACGCCCCCAGCCCGGACACGCCCCCGACGCCGGACGCCCCGCTGGCGGGCACGCCCCCAGCCCGGAGGACACGCCCCTCCCCGCTCTGTCCTCGTTCCCATTGGTTCCCTGGAACAGGCTTTCCTTTCAACTGGCCCTTCCCGGCTCCAGTCCCCGGCCGCGAGGTCAACTTTAGAACCACCTCATCTGACGTCCTCGGTGTCCCCGGCCCTGCTCCCCGCGTTGCGGCGGTGAAGTCTGCTTTCTTAGGGCCAGGCTGTTATCTTGACGGACCCCGGCAGGCCGCGTGGCGCGTGTGTCCCTGGCCTCCCTGCTGCGGGGCCTGTTAGCGCAGCAGCCTTTGGTCTCCATCGAGGACACGTTCGTTCAGTTCCAGTGCCACAGAGGGCACCCCTGCACTAATCCCACTTAATCTGTTGGGCTGGGCTCCATTCACGTGGTCTCGACTGTGTGCAGCACTTAACAGACCCTGGAGAGAACGGCTGGACCGAGGCTGCCCCCGCTCCCAGGGCCATCAGCCTTCTTTGAGAACAATCAAACGGAAAAGTGAGGCTATGGAGCAAACCTGCCAACAACCAGCAAAATGGCCTTGGGCCTAAGGAGCAGGGAGGCGCCCTCCATCAAAGCTGGGGTGTAGGGAGGGAGGCCAATCCTGAAAGACAACACCCCGTGTCTTTGTCACCTGCTGCTCAGGCCTTTACGGTCCACCTTCCTCCTTCCCTGGCCTCAGACACTGTGCCCTCAGAGATTGCCAAGGTCCTCCTGACTGCAAAGAATGCTGGGTCCCCTGGGCTTTCTGCCACCTTGATGATCTTTGCTCTTCCAGCTGAGACCCAGAGGTGGCTCTAAAATTAGGATCTGATTAGGTCAGTCTCCTGGAAAAACAAACGTGCAGGGTCTTGTAATCAATCTTTGGATGCAGGACAGGAAGTGCACACCCATCCCACAGGCTCCCTGACGAAACACTGGCCCTTTCAGTTCCTCAGCCATTTCTCAAATGAGACATCCCACTTCCGCCGCCATCCCCCACCCCCACACACATCCCCAACCTAGTTAATATCAGTTCTTATCTACCTTGTAAGTAAAAAAATATGGCTTCCTCAGGGGCCTCTGCCACCCAGGACTGTCTAAATATCAGATGCGCAGTTCATACCTACTACTCCTGGATCATGCCCACATAGCACTCACCACTGTTTGAAATAAAATGTGTATGTGATTATTGTGGTCGAAAAAGAGATGTTGGAATAACTCAAACTGAAAGTGACCTCGCAGGGTGATCTGATCGTAAATTCCTACCTGAGCAGGTCACAGTAGGCAGTCCCGCCCCAGACCAACAACTTCGTTAGTAGAAGGTTTAAGCCAGCCTTGTGTATCTTTCTTGCCACCTAGGTTGACACATCTTTAAAATGCCAATGATCCTCTTTTCCAGACCCCCTCCAAGGCAACCACCCTCAGAGAAGCACATAATCTTGCAAACTATCCTATAATCCAAACCCACCTGGCTTTCTCCCATCTTCTTGTAATTTTCCCTACGTCCCCTCCTTAATTCCAAATACATAAAAGCAACTGCAAAATTGTCGTTCTCGGGAGCATTTGAGATCTTGCTTCCCTGCAATGTTGTCAGTTTTGACTCAAAAAATTCTCTCAAGGTTTGGATGTTTCTTACATCCGCATTGTTTTGTAAATACCTATCTCTCTCTAGACTACAAGGCAAGACCCAGGTATGCTTTGCTCACCACGGAGTCCCCACTGCCTGGCACAGTGGATGGCACACAGTAGGTGCTCAATAAAACAGCATCTGTGGACAGAATGCATCAACTGCTCCCCCCGCTTTTGTAGCATTGTGTCCTTCTCGCCTCCCCATTTCTCCAACTACTTGTCTCTTTTTGGTCTCTTTAACACCCTTGTCTTAATGACTCAGGCGCACCCCACGATTCTGTGCTCTTCCTTCTCTTTTCTTTTTAGGCTAAAAACATCCGTTTCTTAAAACAAAACTACCTCCCATAATCCCATAATTCTATTTCTTCCTTAAATCACAGTCCATCTGTTTATATATCACCTCCTCCAGGAAGCTTTTCCTGACCCCTACCAAATAAAAAACAGATCCTGACTTATTCAGGGGAGACTTTAGTCAAGAGCATCTCTGTGGGGAGAAAGGGTCACTTGTGTGGAAGAACCCTCTGACCTTAAGATCTACAGGCTTCTCAAGGGTTATGCAAAAAGGGGTTTCTTTGTAGAAATAAGTAAAGTTAGGAAGACTGGGTATGGGAGATGCGTGAGAGGGCATCTTCCTAGGAGAGGAGATCAGAATGTTTACCTGAGGCTGGCCTCTGCTCTGGAGGGGCCGCCTGTAGGCTCTGGGTGAGCCTGGGTCAAAGTTCAGGGCCTGGAGGAAGGAGAGCTTAGCCAGTTCGTTTAACAAGCACTGTGTTTCAGCTGATCGGTGGGCACAAGCAGTCCAGCTAGTCATTTCTGAAGTGAAGGATGGGAATTTGGAGGGTCTACGTCTGGTCTTGTCCTAGGTAAACAAGGGGCATCCAGGGGTGTTACAGGAAGGAGTTCCTTACAGTGAGCTGTTTTAGGAACACAAAAGGTAGGTCCAGGATCATGTGGCTCAGATAAAACTCAACATTTCCATTGCCCAACTTAAAGGAATGTTGACGTAAAACACATCCAAACATGTAGAAAATTTTTTAAGAGTTTATTTGAGCCAAACTGATGGCATCACCAGGAAGCAAGATCTCAAATTCTCGGCAGAGTGACAGTTTCTTTTACACCTTTGAAATCAAGGAGGGGACGTAACGAAGACTGAATAAAGGTGGGAGAAAGCACGGACAGGAATTGGATTACGGGACAGCTAAGGTTTTGTGCGCCCTCTAGGACGGTTATACCTTCTGGAGGTCTGGAAAAGAGGATTACCTCTGGCATTTCAAAGGAGTGTTTGTTAGCCCAGATGGTGAGAACAATAGTCAGGACCGACTTAAACCTTTTCTTGTACTAAAGAAGTCATAGGCCTGGAGCATGGCCTGCCCAGTTAGGAATTTACGATCAAATCTCCTGAGGTTACTTTTTGTCTCTAAACTTGTGCACACTTCCCTTTTTATCTATAGGAGCCACCACCACTTCTTCATGCATCACCTCGTTTACTTTCAGCAAAGCTCTATCTACGGACCTCAGGGACTCTATTTGCCAAGGAGGACTCCTCGTGGTTAACTGGGCACAGATTTATAACTACAGTCAGCAGCCATTGCCGACAGAGGCCTCTCAGGAATGCTGCATCTCAGAGAAAAGCTACAGACTGAACCGTCAGCCTCCTGCACTGTTCTGCTGCCAGCTGAGCTATCAGGAAGGAGCGCCTGGTATCGGATTTCGACCAATGGGCTAAGACCTGCCTTGTCCAATGGAAACCGCACACCTATATTCTCATTTGCATCTATACTGACCGATCAGAGTAGCTCCATGATGACTATGTGAAGCCGACCAATCAGGACAGTGCTATTTTAACCAATCAGACTGTGCAAATTTGGATTTCTCATTTGCATAAAAATGGGCCAATCAGGAAACAGGGGAGACACTTTAAGTAAAGCAGCGTCCTGGTTGTCTCTGCTGAGCTCGCTTTTGGTTTCCTCCGGAGGCTGTGGTTTCCTGGTTTGAACACTGTGTACCGTAACAGAGTTTTTCGTCTTTCCCCATGTCAGATTAGAGACCTTTGTTGACATTAGACTGGTGGCAGTGAACTTTTGTTGACAGCTCTCTTCGTCGCCTGAGAGTTTCACCTATTTCCGTGTTCCTTGCTCTCCACGCCCCCTCCCCACCCCCAGGAGGTGCACTGACCATGAGGTTGATGAGGATTCCGCTCAGGTCCCGCACTCGCATGGACTCTCCAAGGCCCTGTACCACATTTTGCATTGATGATTTTGCATTCCAGCTCCTAGAGAGGGGACTCCAGATTGGATGTTGTCATCCCCCCAAACCTGGATGTGGACTTGGGCTGTCAGCTTTATCAATGCTGTCCACCTAGCAAGATCCTAAACAGATCCCCATGCGGAGTGGGCATTCAATAAGTATTCGTGCAAGACTGAAGGGAGGGAGGAGGAGGCAGGAGGGCACCACTGAGGTTGCAGATAAGGCTCTGAAAAATAAATAAAGAAAAAAACAAACAAACGAACAAACAAATAAATAAATAAAGGCAGGCTCTGGAAGCTGGCCAGCTGTCACGGGGACCAGCAAAGATGGCTCCAGCATGCAGGAGGTGGGGAGGAACCTGAGGGTGATTTTACTGGCTCACATGGTGCAGTGGTCCTTCTCACTGTGGGCTGAAGGAACAGAAATTACACCCGCCACTGTAATGAGCGAGCAGTGGCAGAGCCCACACTGGCTCTGAACACTTGGGCTCTGACATCTTGTCTTCCACCTGAATACTTTTGGCCCAGACAAGTCACATAGTCATCATGGAGTAGAAAATAGTCATGTCTGGCATTAGTGGAGTAGAAAATATACTCTTCTCCTAGGTAGGGACATTGCAGTCACAGTGCAAACGTTGGGGACGCGTATGTTCTGGGTGGGGTGGCTGTGCTTTTCCTAGAGGTGCAGAGTAACAGAAAGCACAGCAGAAGCACTGACTGACTGCACAGCCCCGAGTGTGGGAGCAGCGTCTGCTGGTGGGGAGTGTTTCAGATGCAAACTAATAAACACTGAGCACTCAGTTGTAGAGCAGCTGACTGGGCCAAATGTCAGAGTGCAACGTTTTAAAACATTGCATTCCTCAATATTTGTATTTGTTCTCTAGGAAACAGACTTCTGATTGCGTTCGAGGCTCACATTCACTGGGTGTCTTCAAACACACAGCCCTGTCCTGGCCAGAGGAGGCTCAGGGGGACACAGGCTCTGGTCAGGTCATCCG